TTAATTTGAATTCAATTTTTGATTTGACTTTGAATTCAATTTTTGATTTGATTTTTCATTATTTTATACCAAATTATTTCTCCCCTTATTATTGAAACTTTTTGTTTGTTTTATTCAAATGTTTTGTCACTTATTTACTCGTAAAAAGTCATTCAAATTCTTATATTTTTATAACAAAAAATGTTTATTTTTCTTAATAAAAGTTGATTAATAGTGTGAATAGTGTAGACATGGATCAGATAATGTGATGCTAACCTAATCTGAGATCACAAACAGCGCTATAGTAAGGCAACAATGAATACAAGCCGTAAACAGTGTTCACAGACTAACGCTAACAACAAAATAAAAGCATAAATGTTATAATAATTGTTATAATCGCGTGAATGAATTAATAATGTAATCAATAATTTGAAAAAATACAATCAATTCGTTGTCATAATTACAATCATTTTGTTTTGTGAACTAAACGGCAAAAGACTTAATCCTATTCTTCGTCTACTTTTTCTTACCATTTAGTGTCTGAGAGGAAGAAAATAAATGCTGTCTTTCGATACGCGGCTCTTATGGATCTGTTTGGTGGTCATCAGCGGCGCGACGGGTCAGACGAGCCCAGCGACCGGCGGCGGTGCTGGTGGTGGCGGTGGAGTGACAACGGACGGCGGGCCGGGGATCGCTAGCGTGGCACCGCATTGGGGCGCCAATGTTGACGTTTGCAGTCTCGCAGGGAAACGATTGGAAAACATTTCGCGTGTCTTTACTTTCGATGACTACATCTTCGCGGGAAACGGCCAAGAATTTTATCTCATGAAAACTGGTGACCCGAAGAAATGGCAGTACTTTTGGTCATTTGACTTGGTCAGTAACGCTTCCCAACTTGGTGCCGGTATGTGATCGCCATGTTTGGCCATTCACTCCATCGATGATTCAAAATAATTAATTTCAATTACATTTTTTATTGTATGGCAAACCCCTTCCCATCCCTACCCTTATCTCCACCTCATTGTGTTGTAAACCATAGTCGCGGACACATTCACCGACATCACGGGCTCGCTGTACTTCGGTCGGGACAACTCGTGCCCAACTTCTGCGGGAAATGACTGTAGTTTTATGACCAAAGCGTACCTCAAGGGTCTGTTGGTCTTCCAGAACAACCCGGTGAAGGCCACGCCCGCCACTTACGGCTACCAGACCTATATCCTCAGGGTTCCCATTATTGACAATCCCGTGTTTGGCGATGCGAGCCGTCCTAATCCGTTTGCGGCGTTCAAAGATGACAGCCAAATGCCGTGGGGATTGCCCGCCGCCGCTCCCATTACGACCGCCACTAAGTTCTTCCCGAGTGGTGTCGAATACAAGTATTTGGGCGCCGCGTACGACCCGACCCAACAGGTGGTCTTCGTGTTGACTTATCACGACATCTTGAGTAATAGTCTGATCAATACTATGTTTAGTAAGGTGCCGTGGATCGGCAAATACTTTAGTCAGACACTCATTCACTTTTGGAAACTCGACGGCAAAGGCGACGCTCACTACCAGATGGCGAACGCCGCCCGCGGCTATACAGCGCTGGTATCCAAAAGTGGCAATTTGTTTGCTCTCGAGTTAGGAAAGTGGTATTTGTTGGATATCTTTGAACAGAAGGATCCCATACCCGAAAAGGGAACGGTAAGCAATTTAGACCACAGTCTCCATCACTTTGTGCACTCATTTTAATTATTATTTGCTTTGATTTCAGTACGAAATGAGTGAGTTTCTCAACTGCAACCAAACCACCAAACCCTCGCCTTTTAACTCAGATAAGCCTATTCTGCCCGTCAAACCTATCCCCAGTCCATCGGCCGGCGCTCACACTAGCAATACGACCGGCAATAGCAGCGAAACTGTGGCCCCTCTCAGCCCAGACGTCACGTCTCCCGTATCGTCTGAATCGACAACCGCTGCGAACAAAGAGGAGAACAAATCGTCGCCAATGATAATCATTTTGATTATAGTGATAGTGATTGTGATAATCATTGTTATCATTTGTTGCCTCTTCTGCTGTAAGTCTCGTTATAATTAACTGAACACTGAATTTGTCACTCATTTATTCAAAACACAACTAATTATATCTCAAAACCCGGTTTAAGGTATGAAAGGAAAGGGAAAGGACGACGAGAAGGACAAAGAGGCCAAACCGGGTTCACCGAAGGCCGGCTCCAAAGTGGGATCGAAAGTCGGCTCAACGACCGGAGGAGCGAA